GAGAAGACAAACTGCTGACCCCCTCGATGCCGGTCCCTGCTCTTCTCCAGCGCTCGCAGGGCCCCAGCGTTCACCCCTGCTCCTTTCCACACCTGCCACGTTGGAGAGGTCATCTCCCAGGTGCTCAGAGACAGGGCGTCCTGCCTGGGTCCGGCTTCAACCAGAATTACCCCTGCCCTGGGGCGCTGGGGCGGGTGGAGGGCGCGGTCTGCAGGGTGGGGCTCGGGAGGGCGAGACTGGCCCCTGCACAGACGCCTGGCAAAGGCGGGCGCCCCGGCGGCATTCCGGTGCGTGTTATGTCGGGTTTAGTCGCAGCGGAGTTGAGGACATGCAGGAGGAAGGTGGGCCGCAGGTGAGGACGCGGCCTCCTTCCTAGCGTCCGACCCTGGGGTCCGCGCCGGCCGCGCCTTTTGCCGCGGGCCTCCCGCCCGGCCTCAGTTTCCACAGCGCGCCGGCTGCGTGGGCTACGGAAAACGGGCGCCGAGTGCAGAGCACTTGGTGCTGGGAGGAGCGTGTGGATGGAGTGGGACAGCGCAGGCGCTGGGGGTCATTCGCTCCTGGCTTCCACTGTCACCTCCAGGCGGGCTAGGAGGGCCCGCGTCGCGCCTCTGCATCCTGGGCCTTCTTTCCAACTCGGTAATGCTCGGCCTGTGTCCCTGGCGGCCTGTGGGGGCGCCCCGGCTGCGGTCCGCAGCTAGGACCCGCGCCCCGACGGCCGCGCTGCCCGGGTGCCCCCGCGCTGGCACTGCGCGTCTAGGGCGGAGACCTGAAGGCGGGCGCGGGCCCCGGGGCCCTTCGGCGGCCGGGAAGTTTAGGAGCGGGCTGTTCGAAGGGCCTGGTATGGAGCGGGCGAGCAGCAGGTGGAACTCAGGGTGCCCCCAGAAAATGCCGGCGGGGTTTCTTGCGGTGGGTGGAGGCAGGAAGCCAGTGCCCAGAGCCCCTCCGCTGGGGCTCAGAGACCCCGGATTCCGGGGTCTTTCTAGGACCAAGAGGACAGGAGGGACATCGAGGCGGTGAGGGCGCCGTCGCCTGGGAAAGCGCACCTCGGGCTGGGGGCCTCCGGGAAGCTCGTACGTTTCATGTAGGTGGGACCCACCAGGTCAGTTCTCCGCCGCACCCTCGGCGACACTGAAGCCCACCCGAAGTGACTTGTGTCCCTGCGGTGAGCAGAGCTGGGCCCTGGCCTGACAGCATGGTTGTCGCCTTCCCCTCCGCAAAACAGCACCTCTAGAAGCCGTACTCCCCGTCTCTGTAAAACGGGAATAACTGTTTCCACCAGGCAGGGAGTTCCGTAAATGCGGCGCGACAGAAGAGCCTAGCAAGCGTGTCTGTCCACCCTTCCCCCCCCACGCCAGGTCCCCCCAAAGTGGAGAAAAGCACGTGGACAGCTGGGGCCCACCGGAAGGGGCGCCTGGCCTGGATGGATTTTTGCGGCGAATTGAGGGTGCAGACGGATCTGGCCCAGGAAGCTCAGTCGCAAAAACCCTCCTGGGCTCCGCGTCCTTTCAGAAGTGTTTGTTACCTCCTCCAAATGTTAATAACCAAACGATTGGTATGGATGTAATTATCAATAATTATAGGAATTATTGCTGATTGCGGGGCTCGTAGCCACTTTAATTAGTTTACCAGATTCTAATTAAGTTAAATGAAACATTAATAGGGAAAATATGCTTTGAAAAAAAACTCCAGGATTTTTTAAGTCTATTTCTTGCCACAATGTTGCCACCTTGCGTCGGATTAGAAGCATTACAACCAAACGGCTGAAGGCCCAGACTAGGGTGCCTTGGCTTCCAGGAAGAAGGGGAAATGGGGATTAGAAGGGGGCGGTGGCAGTAGGTCACAGCATGTCCACTGGGCTGCTCTCTCTGTCCCCAGTGGTGCCTACAGAGGGTCTGGCTCTGGAGTGCCCGGTCTGCCGGTAAGGGACCAGATCAACATGCCTCTTAGGCTACAATTGCTTCTCAGCAGAACTCTGGAATCCTTCCAGGAGAAGCAGTGGGACGGATGGTCTCTGTCCCCACCTGCCCTGGCAAATCCAGGGTGAGAGGCTGAGCAAAGCCGCGGTGCTGGTGGTTTCTGTTTTCACTTCCCTGGGAGACACCAGTAAGTGGCTCCCGATCTCCAGTTCCTCCAGTCCTGGGATGCAGGAACCTCTGTGTTCTCAGAGCACTGGTTCATGGAGCCAGCAGGACCCTCGCTTCCCTTGGTTGTCATGTTGGGATCCCAGGGGTGGGAGCACCTGCACAATGGGCTGCCCCTTGCTTTTTCTCGTCCTTGTCAACACAGCCCAGAGCTCTACAGGCAGACAAGTCACATCTGGATGGACGGATTCCAACTTTGTGGTTCACTTAGGTGCTGGGAGTGTCTGAGGGAAGCAATCCCTGGGTGCTTCTGGACAACAGCCACTGAGAAGCAATTAAGCTCATTTGCATAAGGTTAATTAAGCACAGGCTTAAAGCTCAGAAAGAAGATTCTCCATCAACAAGATTAGTTTTGGGGGCAGGTGGCAGGTAAGTGATTGTCAGCCTAGAACAGGAAAACTTTCCTCCTGCTCCAACTGTGTCCCAAGGAGCTGGCCCTTCACTCCCTCATGTTTTGCAGGATTGTGGGGCACCTCTGCCCAGCTGCCCAGCTGTAAAGCAGAGCCTCAGTCCTTTGTGAAAATGCAACTCCTGCATTGAGTTCAGAACCTCCAGCAGAACCACTATACATGCTCTTTCCATTGTGAACAGACTTCTCTTCCCTCTGCACCGCCAGAGGGGGCATACCGGTTGCCTGACTGCACCCTGTAGCCAGATTTACTGAGGCTGCAGTCCAGTTCCCACGGTGCCACTGACTACCACAGCCCGCAAGTCGAATCTGCTTGTGCCTCAGCTCCCTCATCTGTAACAGGAGGGAAAGAACCATTTTGTTTATGAACTAAGTAATATGAGGGAGCTTCAAAAAGTTTGTAGAAAAGCAGAATGAAATTACAAGTTTATTTTAAAATTTTATTTTATAATTATTATTTTTTAGGGAGAGCTTTTTTTCTATAGGATGCAAGTGCTCAACAGAAAGACAGAGACAGAGAGACAAAGAGAGAAATCAGTCCCCCATGGGGGTGGCCACACTGCAATCCCTTCTCCTCCATTCTCCTCTCCAGATCTTGGGCACACACGTACAAGCACCCAGTGTGAGTTTAAGTCACCGGGTCTGGGACTTGAACCGTGGTCTACATAGGAGTCCAGCTACATAGCCATTATGCTAACTGCTGGTCCCATGAGTTTATTTTGATGCAAAAAATCTTGAAATCCATGTACAGTTTGTTCAAATGCATTTTTTTTTTGAGAGGTTTTTGCTATAGGGCGAGTGCGCTCGCCAGACAGACAAGAGAGACAGAAAGTGAGAAATCACCCCCCGGGGGGATGGCCACACCACAATCCCTTCTCCTCCATTCTCCTCTCGGGATCTTGGGCACGCACGCACACAGCACCCGGCATGAGTTTTATGGGCACGCACGCACACAGCACCCGGCGTGAGTTTTAAGCCTCTGGACGAGAACCTCGGTCCACTACGTGGGAGTCCAGCAACATAGCCATTACGTTAACTGCTGGTCCCAGACAGGTTTCTCTAGAACAATTTGAAAGTCTTCTAGCATCAAGTTCCTTGTATTTCATTCCATTTTACCCCAGGCTCTCCATTCCTCCCACCTCCCCACCTGGGCTGATCACAACATTCCCACCTGGTCATCGTCCTTGGCTGGAGAAGAGGGAGCCACGTCAACATTGATTGGTTCCTTGGTTGACACTCCAGGAGGAGACATTCAAAACCCCTCACCTCATCACCCAAGGGGCCTCCAAAGAACCAGGCACCTTTAGGCAAAGAGAAGAGAACCACAAAGACTGGGCCCTCACTTCTCGCTCAAAGAGCCAGGAGCCCAGGCAGAGGCCAAACTAGAGCTCCCACAGACCCCTATTCTAGGCCATGACCTGCAAAGGATCATTTCACCTGCGCTGAAGAGATCAGAAATGGGTCTTGGGGGGGAACGCCGCTCCGGAGAGTGCCCTCCACAGCCCTAGGGCGGCTTCGGGCCCCGCGGCTGACTGCCCTGGTGACCGGGCGGGTTGGGAACCTCCGGCCAGCGCGGCCGCGACAGGCGGCCCCACAGAGGTCCAGTGGCCGCAGCGTCCACTCAGAAGAGCACGGGCGGTCCCAGGGACCAGTAAAGCAGATGCACCCTTTTTCTTTTGGGGGGAAAAATGTGATATTTCAAAAAACACTAAGCCATCACAGGAAATCTGAACTTTAATAGCCCTCGCTTTCCCGGTTTCCCAGAGTCCTGTGTAGTTACTGAGTGGGAGCCCCACCTTCTAGGGTCCGTACCTCCAGCACGCCTTGTTGCAGTCACTTACTAAACATCGCACGGTCCTGTCTAGGTGGCTTTACCTCTCGGTGTCCTGTAAAACGGTGACGGCAATAACCACAAGGGCGGGGCTGTTAGGAATATCGAAATGAGATACGGGGGAAGTCAAAAGTGGTTTTCTTTTTCTTTAAGACTCAGAGGAGTCGGTGTTATTGGCAGTTGCTGTGAGAGTAAACCCGGCGTTTATCGCAGCGCTGGTCTTGCTACGCTGTGAACAGAAACGGAGCAGCGTTGACCAGACCATTCCCTAGGTGTAAGGTACAGACTGTACACGGGGTGGCTACTGCAGA